GGACTACACAATCATTTTTTTAAAAAAACACACTCTCCCTGCTATTTGATAATCAATATTAAAATTTAAGTTGGTCATTCTTTTTTGTTTAAGCAATGTTAAGCCTCAACTTATGATTTAAAAAGTGTTTAATATGAAGGTGGTCACTTTTTTTATATAGTTTAGAACTTGTAATGAAACCTCTGATTAAAGAATGTATGAATGCAATAGAAATGTTTTTCCATCTGACTATGAACACAAAATTGTGTTCCAAGAGCTGCTGAACAGTCAACACTACACAGGTATTGTGGCAAGATGCTTAATTCAGCACAACTGAAATTAAGAAATTTATACAAATCAGTAAATTTATATTATCTCTATTTAGAAAAACATTCAGGTATATGGGTTAAACTAATGAGCCGGTGTATTCATAAAATGACAAATTATGGTCATTGTACACTCTGAAACAAGCTATCATGCATGTTCAGAACTTTCTAACAGAAACTTGAAAAAAATAACATTGTTGTAACAGAATTTGAACTACTGTCATTTATCTTGCAACAATCAAATCAAATCACTGAAATATATCCACTTTTCAAGGTTGCTGAAAGGTCACAATGGTCTGGAATATGTGAGCTAACTTGATTGTATAATTTGGCAACATCACTATTTCCAAATCAACCTAACTAAATAGTAAATTATGTGGTAGACAGTATTGTACCTGGTGAGGCAATACCACTTTCTTCCAATATACAAAGTGTAAAACAAATCTTTAAACAGCCATTTTGGGAAGATATGAACCATAAATTACAAATACTGCTTCCCTATAGCACACTGGTAAGATGCGTATAAATAGCAAAGCAATCTAAGCATGTGTCATATAGCACTCTACACCTCTAACGAAGTGAGCTGCTGATCAGGAAAGCTGATGCCTTTTAATAAACTGCTGTTAGTTGGATACACTATCAGACTCCCGGTTTTTTCCTACCACAGACCAACAGGCCTCTCCTCCTCGCAGTGCCTACAATTTCCATAAGGTGAGGCGTTTAAGACTAAGAAACGTAAAAATTACAACCAAAGGGAGCACAGAACTGGGCAGAGTAACTTAGGGGGCGGGAATAAGTATGTATGTATGTATGTATGTATGTATGTATGTATGCATGCATGCATTTATCAATCAAATTTCGTGTGGGCTGTAACTCCAAAAGGCTTCTCTCACCCCACGCCTCAGCGCCTACCGGCCACGTTTCGCCCCACCGCGGAGCAGGCAACGGAGCGGGAGGGCCACAATCCGCCGTTTGGGCAGGAAGGAGGAGCGATGAGCAGAATCCGGTCCTTCCGCCCCCAACGTCGGCCGAGGCTTCCCCTTGGGCCTTCGGGGATGATGGGAGTTGTAGTCCAGCCCTCAGGGGGCACCGCGTTCCAAGGCGGCCGCTCGGCATCGCCTCCCGCCCACCCCGCTCTTCGCCACCCTCAGCTCACCTCAGCCCGAGCGAGCTCCGGCCCCTGCACGACCGGTTGCGGCTGCTGGGGCGGCGGCGGCGGCTTCTGCTGCTCCTGTTGAGGCGGAAGGTCTCGCTCGCGGCCGGCCTCTTGCTCGGAGGCGGCGAAGGCCACGGCCACCAGCAGCCAGAGTAGCGGCCGCAGCCGCGGGGCCCCCGCCCTTCCCGTCCCCGAGCCCGGCCCGGTTCTCTCGCTTTCCGCAAGAGCGGGCGCGGGAGGG